GCAGTAAGGCTATGAAAACAAGAGGGCAAGACGACAGAGGTCGGTATGCTAATGTTAGCTTGTTGCTTGGTAGCTCGCTACATTTGTTGATAGTTCAACTTGTCTGAAGAAAACATTGCAGAAATGTATTATTACTAACTGTATCATTCTTACATACCCAATATCCCATTCTTTTAAAAATAATTGTTCTATAAGCTTGAAAAAAAGATTTAAAATTTGGCCAAAGTTTGGGTAGCGATTAGAACAAACAAACAAAGAACAACAGATCATTATTTAGACCCAATCATTTTCCAGATAGCCAACAGATAATCAACACAAAAATGTCTGTATCTATGTCATTTTTACAGATATTGAGCAAAGCCCTGTAGTGGAWGTAGCTGGGAGGTTCTCAACCTGCTCTAAGTGCTCACAGTGGTTTTAAAGTTATGTCTATCAGAACGTATTTGTTTTTCACTGGGTTTGTCACTCACGTCATCATCAAAGAGCTCCATGATGAAAGTGGCCACGCTGCCGTTAATACCGATGAAGAGGTTGACGCAGGTCAGAACCACGTAGGCCGTACTGGGCACGCTGAAGAGGAAGGAGGCGGGATACATCATGGGAGTAATGGCCCACCTAAGAAAAGAAAAAATAAAGTCCCATCATCCTTCAGCTAAAAAAAACTGCAGTGGGTGAAACCACAAAGGCGATCTCCACTCTGGCCCGCCCTCATTAAAATAACCGTCAGGGTTAACACTTCATGCCAAGTCTAAAATTATCGGTTGCTGAATCCAGGCAGGTTTTCAAATTCATGAGTGTATATTATCCGGTCAGCTGCGCTGTTTCACGGCACCAGCAGCCTTCTCCGGATCATTTGCATTTCAAGCAAGTGACCCATAAAAGCTCGGCAAAAAAGAGAAAGAAAAAAAAGAAGGGAAAAAAAGAAAAAAAAAAGAATGCCTCCCACACTTGGCCGGCAGTAGATCAAGTTCAGTAATAGAAGCAGATGAAGTGAAGCGGCGGTGAAGTGGTGTCAGGGTGGGTTATACTGAGCCCTCTCCAAAACATGACTTCTACTTTCAATTTGAAAGAAACTGGTCATATTTTAGGAACACATTTTTTCCCCTAAATCATAGAGTTACCTTAAAATGAAATGTTTATTTTTTGTTAAACAGATAGTTGTTTTGCGGGGTCTTTTCTTGTAATACATGAAGTGATGTATACCATAAATTTTATTCCTCTCTAGATCTACCTTTAAGTGAGATATCAGGCCAAAAAAAACTATTAACCTCAGTTAAAACCAAATACTAAAACTGTTTTCATYGTTCAGATTAGTATGAACTTTAGAAGTGCACTTTACAACATGAATTGATATTTGTAGAACTAATTTACTTACAGGTCTTTTTAAAGGTCAACCCTTAAATCACATTTTTCTGACTTCCTTTGTGTTTTATTATGTGTGTTTTAACATTTAAAGAAAAATGGCAGAACATGTTACTGTTTTGTGTCACTTTTAAGTAAGTTATCGATCAGTGCTGGGTTGACGCAGCAACAGTTCAGATCTTTTGAAGAAGGGTTTTGTGAAAAGTGAATGAACAAATAACATCTTACCTGTTGTAGATAGTTTTCARTTTGAAGAAATGGAGTTGTGTTTTAACCCTGACAGTGTTGATTTCATTGACAAAATGTTTTCATCACAGTTTTTGTTACTGAGATAATTTTCTGGAGCAAAACACAACAATAATCAAATAAAAACTAATGTATGAGGAATAAAAATMTGACAAACCCTACTGGCATTTTGGTGTTGGATGAGGCCCAATCAGATCTAATTTTGTTGTTTAAAAAGGTCCAACAGACCAAATTAAAATGGATTTTAAATAAATAAAAATAAATAAATAAAAAAATTGCAGTCACACTGCTTTAAACAGCAAAATTCAAAAAGAACTTCCTATACTTAGATAAGTGGTGTCAAACTCACAAGGCAGCGAAAAATCAAAACTTGGTTCAAACCAAGGACCAGTCTGCCAGCATTCATTATTTAAATTTTATATAATAAATTATTCCTATAGAAATACAAGTGACCTTTTCCAAATAAATTTTGGCGTAGCATTTTAAAACTACATAACCTAAGGAATAAAGAAAAAAAAGATTACATTTACCTTAGACTCTATCAACAGCTTTTTATTTATTATATTTTAAATATACATTTTATTACAATCCAGCAAATCAGGTAAGAAATTATATACTCACCCAAAAATTTCAATTATTTGACCACAAAATAGACAAAAAAAAAATAGCAAAAGATAAATAAAATCAATTCTGTCCGGCTCTTTTCAAACCAAAATCAGAGATCATTAAAACATTCAAATTCCTGTTTCTGGGTTTAAAACCTGTTGAGCCCGATAGGCCCAGTAGGAGAAAATATGGGTTTAAAGGGTTAAAAATTGTCATGCAGAGAAGACACTAAATACAGTAAAAGAAACAACAAAACTATTTTACATTTAAAGTACTATCATTTGGGTCAGATAACATTTTTACAAGGGCCAAAACTGGCCCACGGGCCTTGAGTTTGACACGKCCTTTAGATGGACAAAATTGTAGGCCTTAATTCTTCTGTTGCTGTTGATGTAAGGAGAATGCTATAGCGGCACTGGCGACTGGAAAACTATGTTTTAAAATTCAGACCTGGCGTGACTCCAAAGCTTATCAGTTGCATTGCCAATGCAATGCACACTATTGTGATTCGTTTCCCATCCAAGTCTTCTCAAATTTGCCATGCTTCTCCTCCTGCATACTTTGTCTTAGAGCTGCCATTGTAATTTATATCTGTAAAGCTCCTGTGCCAAATGATGGCTATGCCTTTTGGTGCTTGTAAAACTTATAGTTTTTGAAATAKTAATGTTTAATAAATTAYAATGGCAGTCAATRGAGCCTTGTATTGGTCCAATACTGCCCCTTGCTGCCACTACACAATATGGTACTGCACCATAGTTTCATAATATTTAAACTCAGTAGTTCAGTCATTACAATAATAATATGATTGTATTTTGATGTTTTACTGTAATACTGTCTTTATGTTGTCCTATTGCTGTAATACATTGCACTTAAGTGTCAATAATTGCATTGGCAAGGTAAACTTTTTCTGTATACATACAATCCAATCCCTGGGATTGTCCTCTCCCACATCTCATATAGTCTCATGATGAGCACTGTGGGCTTTCATGCGGGAGATCAGGGTTCAAATCCAGCTACTGCAACTTTCACAAAAATCTCTTCAAACTTCATATTATCACACAGTTACCTTAATTACAAACACCTGCTGATGTGACAGGCAAAAGCTGGTTTAGAAAACATATTTGATCCTGGTCAAAGCTCATTCTGCAAGTCCAATGCTGCAGGCAAAGCCATGCTACATGGCAATGCACACTTGTTTTTACATCGTAAAAACCCATGTCTAGTTATGATTCATTTCCCGAGGTAAAGAGGTTCCTGATTTACTCACCCGTAAAAAATAAGCAGCAGAATCAAGGCGGGGAGGTTAGCAGGCGAGACATAGGCCTTTTGTTGGAAGGAGAGGAAGATCACAATCACGATGAAACAAGGGACGATGTAGTTACACTGTCAAAACAAAAACAAACAGGAAATAAGCAGCTACCTTGCGCCTGTACACAAAGAAGATAGTCTGCAGGGTATTTATGATTATAAGGATGATAAGTTTGACCTTGTTTTGTTTTTCCCAGACAAACTGAAAACATGGGTGATTGTAACATCTGGAGCACTTCGAATTCATTCAGTGAAAGAAAAAGGCAAACTTTTMACTTGAAATGTAAACTGTAACACATTCAATAGAGAATCAATAGCAGTATCTCAGTATCGGTTCAAAGTATCGGAGGATTTTGGACAGGTACTTGTAAAAATACTGGTATCGGGCCTGATGCCAGTATAGGTATAGGGACACCAATAATGAGAATTCAAAGCATGTGTTGAGAACAATTCTTAGCTTCAGTAAAACAAACGAGCTCAGTTACTGTAAAACTGTTTGATATATAATTTTTTTTGTGTTTTCTCTCTTTAAAGAGTCTCTTCAAAATCTGCAAAGTGGTTTGTGACATATTTTGCTAACACACTCACAAAATAAACATCAGTGGGTGATACAAATCAATATGGTTATTACTTTTGCAACTTGTTAGCAAAACAAAAACCCCCAAAGTAGATTAAAATAAGTGGTATATACTGTATATAGAAAGAGAGAGAGAGAGAGAGAGAGAGAGACAGAGAGAGAGAGAGACAGAGAGAGAGAGAGAGAGAGAGAGAGAGAGAGAGAGAGGGGGAGTTTGTAGACTTTCATGGTGTCATCCACATTATTTGATGCAGAATAAATTGCAATGCGGTTTGCCTCAAGACTGGCTCCTTAGGTGCATTTGTCCTCCACTCAGACAGCATTTATCCTCTATAATGATGAGTGTTCYGATAGCATTTCTGTACCAAAAGGAGCCTGATGAAATGTTTACTTCCAGAATGCCTGAGGGAAACTACCGGTAAGCCTGTTGAGCAGAGCCAGCGGGGGGCAGCTGCTGTCGATAATTACGTCTCAGCCAATAACTGTTTTTCAGGTGAAGCCTTTCCCTGCAGCCAGCAGCGTCAAAGCTACATTATCAATTACAGTGGATGGGTTTTTTTTCTTTTCTTTTTTTTTACATTCTGCCTTAGGTGGAAATAAAACCTTCACAACTGCAGCATACTGAATTGTAAAACTAAGAGGAAAATGGGCCATAAAAACTTACTTAGATGGATCACAGATGCCATTATAGCRTGCGTTTTTAAGCAGTTAGCCACAATTAATTTAGCTGCTAATAAAAAGATGAGTCTAAAAGGCACCTCTGGAAGAAAACATCGTTTGGTAGTTGGTAGAAAAACACCCTGGCGTAGCTGCCACTCACCATGTCCCAGGCAAAGTTGGCTAACCAGTAGACGGCCGGGTTGACTCCGCTGACAAATTGCAGATGCTTGGCTTTGCTCACCCTCTCTTGGATGAGAAAGAGGACGAAGCTGGCAGGGATGAAGGACATGGCGAAAATAACGCAGATGGACACCACCACGTCAGTGGAGGTCGTGGCCCTGCGATCCAAGAGATAGGACATCAAACACAAGGTTGACCGAAGAGGTGAKTGTGTAGGCAGGGAACAGATGAAGTTCACATTCAGGATGTTTGYTCGTTTCATTTTGTCCATCAAATGTAGTAAAAACAAACATGTGTAGGTGTACTAAATATATATATTTACAGTATATCTCTTTTTATGTACCAGAGAATTTGAGCATGTTACCTAGAAGCCATTTCCAATATTACCCAATGTGTTAGGCCCTAAAATTCTTTGACTCAGAGCTGTTTCTTTGTAACATTGCAAACTATTTTATTTACATTATATGCTCCTGTGACAAATTATGTTGTTTGACCACTTTGTGAAAGGTAACACTGGTGTAAAATATTATTTTTTGTATAAACTGCAACTTATTCTTGATGTCTTCAGAAGTCTTACCCTTTGTGCACTGGAATGTATCTACTGTAGATAGATTCCATAAGTAATACCCATGGAAGATGGGCGATCACATAATTGTCTGTCAATGTCTGTGTACAAATTCAGRGGCTGCATCTTTGGAAGGACCCAGCCAATCCAGTCTATGTGGACCGGGTCCTTTGTCGACTACAAAGACCAGAGGAAAGTCCYTGTGACTTTGGACGGTCTAAGCTCCAATTTTATTCCCACCCTTTCACTGGTGTATGTCCTGTCACCTAGCAATTACAATGATGCTAAGCAGAAACAATTAAAGTCAAAATTAGCAAAGTATTTATATTATTAATTTACAAAATTAGCTTAGAGGCAATACTCGAAGAATTAAGTTTACCATCGTACATGCTCGTTTACGATTATTTCTGACAAGAATATTAGTAAAAAATTTGTGTCTACGCAAATAACAAAAGCCTAACAACRCAACCGCTTTAAACTTTCACTTTTTATAAGCCAGATTCTTATTTTAAAATTGTACTCTTGCTTTGTCTGCCATTACAAGCAAAAAGATCTCTCGATTGGCCTGCAATGCATCTTGGGATAGGGTGGGCTGTAAAGGATACACTGGATGGGTCCCTCAAACGGGTAAAAAGGAGGATGCATTCGTGCACCGCCATTGGAGGAGTCTTTGAATTTGTGACACAATCAGCCTATAAACTTGGTCTTTAAAGGATGAAGCCCTTAAATTTGGACAGAGCCATACTGTGTGTGTCTGTTAGAAAAATACATAATCACTTATGGGTGGATTTTAATAAATCTCTCAAAAGGTAATCATTGATTGTACATCTACACTGGATTAACTTATGGACTGAACCTGATTCCAGTTGGCTGCCATGGCTGATCAACCCAAAGCAATCCAAAATTTATATGTAGAACACTATCATATAAGTTATATGATGAGCTGAAAATTAGTAACTTAAAATCATCCCCAACATTTAATCTGAGCAGTAAAAAAATTAGCATGGTATCTTTGTGTAAAATGTTGGCATTAAATGTTCGAGTCAAAACTAATTCTACCCTAAATAGATTTGCTAACTTATTATGCTGTTCAAAAAAGCCCTAAGATTTTTGTGAGGAATTTCGCAGAAAAGCTTTTTTTTATATAATCGTTAACCAACAAGTACAGGTTCTTTTTATCTGAGTAAAATGAAGAATTATAATTTCTGACCTTCATTTTACCTATTTCCCTATGATACATCTTTATTTATGCTATCCTCCCTCTGTGAGCGTCTTTCAGTCCGTCTGCTCAATTAGTACTGGATAAAATTGATTTCCACTCCTTTAATGTTKGCGCTCCTCAACTTTAGTCCTGCTGCATAATTAGCATATTAAATCAGCTGCCCTGCGTGGCTGCAAGGATGCATTTATCACCGCCAAACAGGCACAATTAGAAGGCATAAATATGAAATCATTCACAGCGAGTTGGTTCCAACCTACATTTCTGCCGGTTTCAAGGGCTACGGGGAGGTAATGTTGGGGACGAAGCTATGAACGATCGAAGTCGGAGCGCTTGAAGGTGCATAATTGCTGTGGAAAAAAGGACAAGCAATCTGCTAATTAACTAATAATGGACGAAGAAGAAAGATGAACAGTGGGAGTAAAGCTGTAGAGAAAGAGTAGCTCTCCTTTAGGTTGTTTTTTTTTTATTGCTTTGGGCTGCAGAAAACAGCTTAAATGTAACCGAAAAGGAGGGTGGAAATTAAAAAAATGTGGCAAAACTGAGGCTTTAAGCAAGGCATTCACATAAATAATTCTCTCATTTGATAACACYCAGGACATACAGACAATGCTGCTTGGTTAAACTAAAATTGAGTGGCAGCTTAACTGAATAAAATTTTTGAACCTCTTGTTTTTATATTGTGCCAAAAGATTACGACTTTTTAGCAATATTGGCAGCTAACAAACTAAATGCTAACAAATGAAAGGAGGCTGTCAGACAAACAAGTTTGTAATTTTTTAAAGAGGATTTTGAAACATTAAAAAGATGCTTCCATATTAATGACAGTAAGGGCATTTTTCATTTTATGTTTAAGTAGTACCTATTGTATCTATATTATCTATAACTGAGTTATAGACATGTTTGTGTTGATCAAGGTCAATTAGCTGAATGAACATTTTGAGTTGARCTGACTTTAAAAGCTTTTCAGTTGTAGATGCATGTCCAATGACTATGTTTTTCAGAGTTTCATTAAATTATGTCCAGTTGTCCAAAGGAYATTTTGCTAACAGACAAACAAGATGGACTCCAAACATTCAGGCCAATGTTTTACATGGAGATCTCATAAATGTTTTGTGCTTACAGTATTGAGGTTGTCTCTCAGCTACTACTACATCAAATTGTAGCAAAATAAATGCTAAATTGACTGAGTTACAGCCATTTTTGTGTTCTCTAAAGTCAGTTGGCTSTGGCAGCCATCTTGAAATGAGATGACTTCAAAAGTTAATCAGTTGTAKATGTTCATCCAATGAGTCTATTCTGAGAGTTTCATTAAAATAAACCCACMGTTTCCAGAGATATTTTGCTAACAGACAGACACAGCTGACAACAATGGGTTTTGARGAATGTTTGGAAAAAAAGATCTTATGCAATCAGTTAGCACTCCAAGTATGAGTTGTCGGTGACTCTCAGCTACTAGGACACCAAATTTGCGCACATTATCTATAAAATGCTCGGCGATATACACATTTTTGTGTTTGTTAAATTTGATTAGATGTGGTGTCCAATAAAACTCTGAATGAGTCCAAAGATTAAGCAGCTGTAGGCGACCATCCAATAAGTTTATTCTGAGCATTTCACTCAAATTCGCTCACCGGTTCATGAGATATTTTGCTAACAGACAAACACACTCAGACACAGGCAAAGACATATTAAAAATACTTTCAAAGCTGATTTTTTTTGAAGATGATTAAACAAAATTAAAGGCCATATTTTAGCATTAGTCAAATGAAGCAGAACAGAAATGACAAAGTGGCAAATGTAGTCATTGTGCATTAATATGAACAGTTCTGAAGTTCATAACATTTAACGATAAAAAAGGTTGGGGGAAAAACACGAGATGAGGAGGTGTCACGACAAATTAGTTAATTCAGTGTTATATTTTACTGTTAAAAAAAGGAAAGACTTATTATGTGAGAATGAGTTTGTTCTTTAAACATCAGAGTCACTAACTGTCTCTGCATCACGTTTCAGCTGTAAATGAAAAGAATAAATTCATTACATTTAAAATATTCATGGCTGGTTTATGTGATGTGACAACACTGTTGTCTTTTGCTTGGAATCACACAAACAAAATCCCTTTTTATTGTCACAGTCACGGTATTTAGTGTCAACCTGAAAAAAAAAACTGTTTGTTTTACCCAAAACTACAAATCTAGATGCATTATTTGGAACTGCAATAGTTGAAGTGGGAAATGATAAAGATCAAATTGAGCTCATGGAAGAAAAAAAAGACGTTCTCTCTTTTGCAACAATAATGGYAACATTTTTCAGAGAAGTGTTGTCGGTGRATTCTCAAGCTGTGAAGGAAGACAACGTCTTGACAAAAATGAGGAAGATGTAAATGCATGGAACTGGAGGAAAAAAAGGGTAAAAAATACGGTGCTAACAGTAATCGCGATTAATCGCAAAAATATCTTGCGATTAATTGTGATTAAAARTTTGAATCTATGCCCAGCAGTAATTTTTCATTTCACCTTATGCATTGTGGGGTTAGAAAAGAAGTAGGCAATGTCCATGTTTTTCCAGCATCCTACAGCTCTACTATCTATATCAAACAACATTTTAATYGCCTGCATTATTTTCACAGAACTCCATTTTAAAACATCTGAACTACCACTTTAAATCTCCAATGGTGGAGATCAAGAGGAATTCGACATCCAGAAATGTATCCTGGCTGTCCATTAGAGCGTTTGTTTCTATACACCTTAACAACATCAAATATTTATTACTATTTTTCCACATTTTTAGTGGAATGATCTCTCTTTATCTGTTAAATGTGCTGATTTGTCCAGTATTTACTCGGTTTCCCTGTGTGCCTGTAGGCGCATCGTGTTTAAAAGCTCCTCCTATAAAACGGGCTTTCATATAACACGTTGTCACTTGACCATAAAAARGGTGTGCACATGGAAGTTTAACGTTGTGCTTAGTCAGGTGCTAACCTCTGCCGTTTCATCTGCTTTTCTCCCACCCCCCCACCCTTGAAACGAGCTCACTATTTCAACATGAGAGAAAGTCCAGCCTAATCTGGAAATCATAGCTCTTAAATTCTGTCACCGTCTGCACCCAGAGGTGGAAAAGAAAAGAGGCTCGCGTTGAATCTACGGTGGGCAGGATGTTGTAATTATCTCCAGGTCTGGTGCAGTACCCACCCCACCTCACCCACCCCCACCCCCAACACCCTTACTCAGAGCTGTCGTCAGCACTCGGTCACTACATAAATACAGGCTGGAGTGCGGTGGAGAGGAGTGGAATAAAACTGGTGTAAACAAACACTCAGCAGCCTGTACGTTGTGTGGAGATGTGATCAGAGCAGCAAATATTAACAAAATGTTGCAGATGAATGCAATTGGACCCTATCCATTAMATCACACTGATACTAAGTTGATATTAATACCAATAAAAAGAACATGATCACAAATCATACAGATATGTAGGAAGTAATTGGCTTATTATACACATGGGCAAAATATGGTTGGAAGACCAGAAACAATGACATAATAGCCTATCAGATGAGTTCTGGACCATTTTTGAATGGCATTTGGTTGTTAGTATGAACACAATTTGTCTGGAGAGAAGTTTTAACAAATTCAGAAAAAAAATCAGAACTCTTATCCATAAAAATGTTCATTTTCTCAGGATATCGTTAATAAGAATGGATTCTTTAAATTATCATGAACTGAATGAATGAAGATTTACACCAGAGTACAACAAAGGATGACCACTTCTGGTTTATTATCCCTCATAACCATGAAAGAAGGGTGGTCATGTAATTGCCTGCGTTTATTTATTTTTTCCAAGTGAGTACAGTATGTTTGTCTTTTAGCAGTATATGCATGATCACAAAGTTAACCWAATAAAGACATTAAACCCCGAGGTGGCTCAGTGCTGGCTGTTTGAACCTTGCTTTTCAGTTTGGCTGTCACTGGTATGTCAGCGTGTCAATAAATAAATAAATAGGTAAAGCACTTTGTAGAACCTTGTCTGTGATAAAGTGCTGGCCATGAAACAGAGATGTCTTGGACAACTCAGGGACATGAAAGTCACTTTTGCATCCCTCAAAACAAGCACTGTCAAAACAAGCACTGTCAAAACAATCGATAACTTTCTACCCAGTGCAAGAACTGTACAACTTAAAATTCTAAGGAAGAAGCTGAAGGTTTATGCAGCATACAGTGAGCTGTTGACAGTATGTTTGTTTTACGCTGCTACTAAGATAGAAATACTTTGTAACTGACAGTGACTGCGGGTCAGTTAGCACAGCACATGGGAGACAGAACTTCTCCTGAAAATGAACCCAACCTCCTTGTTTTTAGGATGTTTTCAGGGGGTATTTCTCACTGAGTCACTTTCCTGTTAGTAACAGATTTTTTAAAATGGTAACAGTCATTTTTTCAACTCACATGGCTGCAAAGGAGAGCTGCTCCTTGGTGAGGTTAAGGGGGTGATTGGAGATGGAGATGCCATATTGGCGTGGGTTCTGTTCCACGGGCAAATTTCCTCTCAGGATGCCGTTGTTTGCCACGCTTAGGAAGGACACTATACTGTGCCATGCCTGGTTGTAGAACCACACCTGTAACAGAAGAAACAAGCACTTAATCTAGACTAACCTTACACAGCCTTAGTCTAACTTATATCAATCTAGCCTTATCAAACCTAACCTAAAAAACCCTAACCTATATCCCAGCCTATTCTACCCTAACTTAACCAAGATTAACCCAGCCTTAATCTAGCCTTGTCAAGCCTAACCAATCATGGCAAAATATTGTCTGTCCTATTCTACCATAACCTAACCCCAATGAACGGAGCCCTTCGTAGTCCAATCAAAAACCAACAATCTAGCCAAACTTAACCCAACCAAAACTAGTCCACCATAGCCCAACCAAAAACATAAACTTTTCAAGCCTAACCTATCTTGATTTAGCCTAGTCAAGCCTAGCCTTATATATTCTAGCCCAGTGTTTCTCAAGGTTGGGGTCGGGACCCAAAGTGGGGTCCCGAAACATCAAGGTGGGGTCCTGAAAAGATTTTCTGAATTAATTACATTTTTRCCTTAGTTGTTACAAAGGAGTGAGGTTAGTATATTTAAAATGGATAAATTGTTACTATGCCCATGTTTTGTTGACATGATACAAATGTTTATCATCCAAAAATATTTGGGGGCACAGGTCTCTGCTACTGCTATTTTCTGGGTCAAAAGCTGAAAAGTTTGGGAACCACTGCACTTTGGTTCCCAAAGTTGGGCTTGGGACCCAATTATGGGTCATGTAGCACCTTGGACAATCTCCAGAAATCAATTTAAAGGGCAATAAAATCATTGCTGATGTAATATTTTCCCTATAATTATTACAAAAACACAAAATAAGCATAAATAAGTATTTAATATTTGTGTACAAGCTGTTTAGATTGTTTAAAAGCCTGTGTTTTTAGGGTTATTAATGAAGTTCGTGTACTCAGACCAGTAATATTTGGGGTCACAAGTTTTTGCCATGGATATTTTGTGGGTCAGAAGATAAAAAGTCTGGGAACCACTGCTCTAGCCTAGCCTAATCCAACCAAACCTAGCCAGCAGTAGCCCAATCAAAAACCAAGCTTGTTTGTCTAACCTATCTTGAACTGGCCAAGCTTAGCTCAACATATTCTAGTCTAACTTAACCCAACGAAACCTATTCCACTGTAGCCCAACCAAAAACCAAAAGTGGTCAAGGCAAATCTACCTCAGCATAACCTAGTCTGGCATATTCTACTCAAACTTAACCTGACATAGTCTAGCCTAACTTCACCCAACCAAACCTAGCCCATCCTTAGCCAAACCAAAAAAATAAAAAATAATAAAAACAAGCAAACCTCACCTAGCCTAACCTATCTTAATCTATCCTAGTCAAGTCCAACTTAGTCTAGCCCAACTTAACCCAACCAAACCTATTCCACTGTAGCCCAACCAAAAACCAAACATGGTCAAGGCAAACCTACCTTAGCATAACCTAGTCCAGCCTATTCTACTCAAACCTAGCCTGACACAGCCTAGCCTAACTTAACAAAACCAAACCGAGCCCACTTTTAGCCCACCCAAAAACCAAACCTTACCTTAGCATGATCTATCACCATCTATCCTAGTCAAGCCTAGCCCAACATAGTCTAGCCCAACTTAACCCAATCAAGCGTAGCCCAACTAAAAACAACCAAAACCCTGCCTAGTCTAACCTGATGTTGCCTAACCACCCATAGCCAGTTCTATTCAATCTGAAGTAAATGTTGTCTTTTCTTTTACATTTTTATGAGCCAGGAAAAAATGTCAGAAATATTTGGGGAAGAAAATGCATGTAGTACATTTAATGTGGCCACCAGGAGCCAAATAAAATCAGTATGAGTCCTGGTCATTTTTAAAACACAAATAATTGAGTGGAAACTATCAGTGACAAAACTGCTGGCCCTTAAGCATACAATACGTTACTGTTACCACAGCAGTTGTGACAGTTACATTTCTGTGTTTATATCTTTGTGGTTTTAGTTCACTGCTACACAAAATCTGTTTAGGGGGTCAAATTATCTTCAGAGCTTTTTTGGATGAAAGACGAATATTAAAACAAATCAACAAAGAGAGAAAAAAAACATYACTTTTGATTAATTGGGTATCAAAGCTTGTCACGTCTGAAAAATCCTGATGTGACATAGCATGAAAGCTGCAGAGCAGAAATATTTTAACACATTMTTTTTAATATAAGTGATTTTCTGAGTCTGTGGTTGCTGGGGTGCAGAAGAAAAAGATTGGATGAAAGAAAGTGGGTGTGAAGGAGGACTCCCCGCTGGTGCTGCAGCGATAATTAAGAGTGGATGGTGTCTGAGTGCCAGCCTAACATAACACTGCATCACAAAGGAGCATGTGGAGGAATTAGACTACACACATGCACATACACATGCACGCACATGTGTTTTTTCTGATGCTTTGTCTTTCTAAACGAAAATGTATTTTAGCAACAAATTCTTCAAAAACTACCATCTAACGTATTAAAGATAACACCATCTGAAAAAACACAGGTTTGTCTGTGAAATAAATCATGTTTGACATAAAAGCAAAAAAATGAAAACTAAACATAATTAAAGCAACAAGATTTGGAAAAAAGAAAACATCTACTAAGAAAATAAGTGTTTGATATTTATATGGGGCAAAAAATATGTGCTCCATTACATTAATAATTGATACAAATGTACTAAACATTTATGGTATTTATGCTTATTTGTATAGCTCTCTGTTTCATTCATTCACCTACAGTACTATAACATCAAAGTTCAAGACATATATTGGAATTAAATTGTTAGAAAATGGCTGTTATTTTATTATTATTATTTTTTTAATTTTGGGTTAATTTTTTTTTTTTGACAATGTGGGTTTGTTGATTGTGACGAGACAGCAAGCAAAAATAAAATTTGATACATGGTTATTTTTAAACACRTTTTAGTTGTATTCAACAATCAGTGGTGGGCACTGTTTGACTAATCCGCTAATAGTGGAAATAGCTTCTCATTTATATGATTAGCTTTTTTAATGTTGGAAATTGTTAGCAGATCGACAAGCTTCCGCTAAATGTCCAATAAAAAAATTCACAAGTGTAAAACTTTGATTTTTTATGACATTTMTTCTAAATTAAATGGAAAACCATCCTCTCTTACAAGCAGTACTGATTGTGTCAGACACTGTATGTAGCATCTTTAGCAGCTACACTTCAAACTGAAGATCAAAAAGGAAAAAAAGAACATTTAACAATACTTAAATAACACAAAAACTGACTATGTATAAAATATAGTATAAATGTATTTGGTATTTGTTGTTTGACTAACTTCAAATTAAATTTCTAAAAATGCAAACTTAAACCAAGAAATGCTTTTATTCTGAAAGGGTGAAACTGATAGTATCACAAATTAGGCAGAGCTATAGTTCAGTTTGGAATGACATATTTGCCACAAATGATCGCACCCATCTTCAAATAAAATAGTAGAAAACTAACAAGTTTGCATCAGTCTCAACATTCAACTGTCAACTGTCTTAGCCATTAGCATTAGCTTCCTCGTAATAAAAAAAATCTGTTTATTGGTTTAGCAGTTTATTGGTTACCAGAGCTAAAATTCATGTTTAGCAAATTAGAGGTCAGTGAAACTAACTTTTTTGTTTGCTGTGTCAGAAATAGTCTTGGTCTCACTAGGACTAGTCATAAAGTTGTCAATCCAGTCAGATTTAAACTTGTTTTAAAAAAAAAAAAACTGGTTAAAAATCTATTAACAGTTTTTTTTTTCTTGTCTACTCCCTCCTGTTGGGTTCACCACAGAAAAAGGTTTGGCAGTTGTTTTACACCAAATGTTCTTCCTAATGCAACTCAAAGCTGTAGTCTCAAGATTACAAGAACACCAAGTTACCATGGCCTGAAACCGTCTACAGCAGGTAAAATGTTTTTTATGTTAATTGTTTTGTCACAGACAAACAACCACTTCAAAAGATCTAAAGTATCTCTTGAAAGTGCAGAAATATCAATTAAAAAGTTACAACAATACACTTCAAGGCTAGGTAATTTGTACAAAAGGATAAGTAGAACGATTTTCATTTGTGTTTCACAGTTTCTGAGTCCCATTTTTTTTAATCACCACAGTTACTACCCCAAATAACTAATTTCACCTCTCCTACCCTGAACACTTTCATCCCATTCAGCTGCATGAAACAGTTTTAAACAATTAATACAACACCTTGACATTGTCCCTGGTTCCCAGGTTCTTCAGCAGCGTCTCGACCCTCTGGAACGTCTGATCAGTAACGTTATCCTAGCAAAGTTGGAAGAAAACAAGAGAGGGAAGAAAAAAAACAATCCTGAGTTAGAGACTTAATTGGATACCCTTGGAAAAGCACCACTGCTCTTTGAAATGCAAAGCATGAAGCGGAGGGAGACAAGAATTAAGACTTGTGGAGAGCATTTGGGAGCGCTGAGCCACTTATTTTCCTCCGAGTTTAGGAAGAAAAAAAATGTGCCCTCCATTTTATTTTTACTTATTTCCCATTTTATGACATTTCTGTTTTATTTAACAGTACAAAATAATTAAAATCACGAGGAGCAAGAGAGCTACCAGTAATAGTTTAATTACTCAATGAACCAATCAAGTGGTGGAAGTCTCCAAGTGTTCATAAAGAGACAGAAATTAATTAAAGGGCTCGCCCAGTGCCTTTCATGTCAGAGTTTTAGACTGAGGCTATGTTCACAACGCAGGCAAAAGTGGTCCAAATCCAATAGTTTGTGCATATGTGACATATATCAAATTTTTATGTAAGTTAATCAGTGCAAAATACAGTGTTTTCTAATTCAACCCAGGTCGCATGTGTTACTAAATCAGCTATACAGTACATTTGATGTTTTAAAGTGACTGCAATTTTGGTCATGTTATTACAATTTTCACTTGCTGTTTATTTGAATATCTAAATCTATCTGATTAGTTTAATATTTTTGCAAATAGATAAACAAACACAGGCAAAAACACTGTCACCCGCCTCCACCTTTTGGCGGCAGGCGATAGGCCAAAAAAAGGTATTTTTCAGACAGCGTCTGTGCTTTGCTGCTGCGAGGTGAGGAGATGCAAATGGCGAGGAGACGGTAGACTGGACAGGTTGCATTAAAAGCTGCTCCTCTTCCTCATGCGCGTCGCGCGAAATGAGCCTTGGGATGAGGGCTCCAGATGACAGGCGTGCGATTTCCAAAGTGGCATGTTGATACCACGCTGCTCAGCCCAGCTGTAAGAGCGCTGAGGACATTACATGTGTGATATAAATGCAAATGGACCTCCTGTTGGACTCTGCCTTCGTCAGAAATGAAGTACGGGAGTGAGACGAGGGCAGTGGGGGTGGGGGTGGGGGGGTTCTGAGGAGGTAAAGAGTGGATGACAACTGGTGAGAGAGATGGGAGGTGAGGGAAAAAAATAAGAAGAGAGAAATCAAGAAAGACATCCCAAGAATGCCGGAGTGTGCTCAGGTGCAAACTCACATCTGAGGCGATGCTGGGAGACTGGAGAGAATTGGAGGACAAAAACACCTCCTGCCTCTGGAGCAAGCAGGAATAGCTTTGTGAAGTAAACACAGTCTTTGTCCGGTAATCATTACTTTTTTTTTTGAATGTTCAAACAACCATTCTGCTACTTTTAGCTATCCTTTTGCTATTCATAGTCTTTAGCCTGCCTTTTGGCACTTTTAGCTTTTAGATCCCCTTTTGCTTCATTTATCAGGAATTTGCTACAACGATACGCATTCAGTAATTTCTTCAATTTTCCTGAGGGATGCAACGATATGGAAATGTCCGCCGATATCAATATCCAAAATTAATATTGTTGTTATGGTGGATAACCAATATTTACCGATATTACACAAACACATAAATCACAAACACATGCACAAACACACTTGTGTCTTTTTCGACACCACAAAAAACAACCAGACTGCTGACTTATTCCTGGCTGTGCAGCATCACTATCATGACCAAACAGATACCACTCGACTAGCCGTTTCCCCTCCCGAAACAGAAACACGATGGGCAACAAGTGGGAAATCAATACCGATGTCAATATTGGCCTATTTTTTCTTATTGAACGCCAATACCAATGTTAATGCTGACATATCATGCATCCCTAGTTTTCTTACATTTTCACCTGTCCAAAAGATCATGAAGCAAAACGCCTGTGATCTGTCAGTAAAAACATGCTCACCTGTGACCACAGTTTCCTGCAGAGCCCGTCTGGAGACATTAGATAAAATAATAATAAAAACGCGTGGCCACAAGATAATAATTTGTGACCACGTGATAATAACTTGTGACCATGGGTTATTATCTTGTGATCATGCGCTAATGCACATTGCAACACCCATATAATGTATATATTTTTCTACGTGTTTGAAAAAAGAACCCCATCTGGAAAAGCAACATTTGTAGACAGCGTCGCTCCCATAAGCCAGTGTAAAACAAAAAGATGGCCACGGTGGTTATTTCACTACATTTGTCCATTTTAACTAGTCTTAAAATTATTTAAAAACACTGTTTCAATAGACTTTCTTTCCAATCCCCTAATCCTTCATACCTAACCMTATAACACAATGTGACGATCTCAGAGATGAAATATTGCGAGCATCCAGAGCACTTTTTCACCCTTCTTTACATTCAGCCTTCTTGCACAGCTCAAGAAAGTGTTTACACATCATTTTGGTAACACAACATGAACTCCTCATCTCCTTCCATATCGTGGCGTTGAGGAAGGATAAAAGGAAGAGATCCAAAAATCTACGCTGACAGAAATATTTGTGCTGAATAACATTCTCTCTGTTCCAAGTCTATTCATACACGGGGGCCGGGAACAAGACTCCCACTCTCGTCTGTGATGCTCCTCACAGCCAAAACAAGACGGTCTTTATTGTGTTTTGCTTTTTCTCTTCCTTTTTTTTTTAGTTCTTTCTGGTTTGAATTGTGCCAAGCAGAGAAGAGGCAGCCTTCCTGAGGATTAGCGATGGCTGAAACAAGATGAGAAGTGGGCCAGAAGCTGTCTAATCCTTCAACAAACTCCTTCCTGCTCAAGAGTGACGAKGACAAGCCTGGTTTGGCCTCGCAGAGCTCACCGGTGCCGATGCTCGGGACACGGCCGCTCGAGTGTGCGGTGACTCATCTTGGCTTGTGTTCCTGTGGAGTTCACCGGTCTAATGAGCCTTAACATGTGTCTGAGGGGTTTGGGAGAAGAACAATCAGCCAGAAAGGAGTTCAACTTGATTGAATTCCAAAMTTTATTTTGGAAAATGTTGCTTAAAAATTGAAGTAGCAGGTTCTTTAATGTCTTTTTAAGGTTTTTACAGAAATGAATGTGTTTACAGGAATGTGTATCACCCACCACCTTTCATGATGAAGTTCTTGACTATAATCATCTTTTTGTGAGAAATAATGGAGTTAGGGCTGGGCGATATGGCAGGAAATGTTTCATCATTAAAGCACCCCATGTCAGTCAATGCTGATAATTATTCATTAGTTTATTTGACAAAAGCACCAAGACTGCCAAACTGGTGACGTGACCTTTCCTCTTTTATCCACAATTTCCTCTCAAGCCAATGCCCTCGAGTGAGTTAGCTGATGCCACCAGCCTTGCTTAGCTGGGCCGTGAGAGGTTGAGTGTCTAAAGCTTTTAGTCTGCCTACATCCCCTAGAATGCCATTTAGTTATGGATCGGAGTTCAGTGAACTGATCAACATCCTATCAGACATAGGCTACGTTCACACTGCAGGTCTTAATGCTCAATTCTGATTTTTTGAAAAAAAAAATGCAATCTCTTGGTGTGAACGTTCGTATTACATTTTAAAAGCGATCTGCATCAGACTCCAGTGTAAACTCTACATAGCGCTGATGTGACACGCATGCGCAGTAAAAGATGTGCCGTCTCATTCAGCCAGCTTGTTTGTTTACAGAGCTAGCATGGATGCTACTTTTTGCACGTTGAATCTGAAACTGTTGTTTAATCTCAGAGCCGATTAAATAATTATCTGTCATGCTTCTTTAGTTCAATGTTTATATCTGAACCTGCCTCTGACCGGATGCTCCGGAGAAACTTTTTATTTTTTGAACGAAACAACGAGTTGGAAATAAAGTATCGACTGAGTAACTTTAGGATTGATACGCTCCGCGACCGAGGCTGGACGTTACTATCTACATTGAAAATGAAAAGTAAAAAGATGAAGCAACTGGACTTCTGTTTTGGAGCTGTAAACACATGGAGCTACAGCTTTAAACAGCRTGACTTAAGGTGAGTGTCTTACCGATCCTTCACCCACATCTCACTGATGAAGAAGTCAGATGGAATGCGACACGAGCGTTCACACTGCAGTCRCTTTGAAAACATCAGATATGTATCCGATTTAGAACCACATCCTGAAACAGCCTGGGTTGGATTAGAAAAAAAAATCGCATTTGTYGCGTTCAGACTGTCATAAAAAATTAGCTATGGGTCAGATGGGGCAAAAAAGTCTGATTTGGGTCACATTTGCCTGCAGTGTGAACGTAGCCATATTTTCTATTGATATTGATTACGTGTCTATTGTGATATATATTGTTATTGATTTAGTGCCCAGCCCTAGATGGAGCCACAGCCATTTTGGTTAAACYTTGAAAATAACAAACATGGGGCAGCTGTGGCTGAGTGRTTAGAAGAGTCTTCCATTTAGAGTTGGCAGTTTTATTCAACCGCATTTTGGTGACATGTCGACGTGTCTCAGGGCAAGCCACTGAACCGAGCCTCTGATGTGTGTCCCTATGAACTTGATTTAAAGCATTGATTAGTATCTATAGAATGATTTTTCTACATTAGCTTTGTAGAAATGCAGCAGTAGGGTGCTGTGTGAATGGGTAAATGAGGGCACAGATTGTGTTGTAAAGTGCTTTGGGGTGTCCTGGTTGGATAGAAGAACGCTATATCAATAGTCTATTTACCATTTAAATGTGTACACGCTGTATCTCTTAGTGCTTGGYGTGCATGTTGAGAGAAACTCTCTACAATGACTACATCACATTTTAGTTCAATATCTGTGAAACTGACAGATATGGTAAATGACCTGAACTTACATAGAGCTTTGTCAAGTCCAATGACTCTAAAGCTTTTTTGTGTTGGTCATCTTGGATCAGGTTGACCCCAAAAATCAGGTAGACATGCATCCAATGATTCTTTTATGAAAGTTCCATCAAAAGCTATTAAGTAGTCCATGAGTTGTTTGGCTAAAACAGCAAACACACACACACAAACACAAACAAGCAATCAGACTCTATTATCTTCATGTGTATCCCTCTCGTAGCCTAATTATATCATTTTCAGCACTCTGGCTCTGTGGTTCCTGCCATTCCCATCGTTTTGCTGCACATAACTCCATTTCTACCTGCTAGACACTGGAAATACAATTAAAGAGACATTTCAGTGCCCACTTCCCCATCATCAGCTATGACTAGAATTGCAAAAAAAAAAAAAAAATAACATGCTACCTATTTCCAGTTACCATCTCACGTCACAATGCCTGCCGAGCAGCACAGAGCCAGACATTTCCCAAGGACAGTGTAGGATGTTAATAACAAGGACTGCAGAGCTGGGACGGCTAATGCCCGGCCATTAGGGTTACATCAGTTCTGCTGCTCAAATTAAAGTCACATTAGCATCAAGAACCAGGAGACGAAGAGGGGAGCATGGGTAGGGACGAGGCGAGAATTGCCTGAGGGGCAGAGCAATGTGCTGATCTCAAATTAGTTGAACGTCCAACATTTGAAATGTTAATGAGCGTGTTTGCTAAAGAGAGAGGGAGCGACGCTGAAGGAAGAYAGACCACGGCACAAAAGGAGGACAAATAAGATGAGGTTCAAAAAGCACCGAGCTTAAAACGATCTTTTATTGTGGGGTTCTTTGGAACATCAAAAATGAACAAGTGCAAACTCATGCAAAGTCACATAACTTGGAGTATATGTTGGKGAGCAGTCTCAGCTACTACCATACCAAACTTTAGCTCAATATTTGTGAAGTTGGGTAAGTTATACCGTAGCTGTTTTTGAGTTTGCTCCACCTCTGCTTTTGGCGGCGGRCGATAATAAATACATAAATAATGTGCAACAGGGTTCACAGGACTGGATGCATTACTCTTTAAGACTGGAATCTTGATCCTTTCGAAGCAAAGGAACACACATTCGTATCCTGTTGCCAGGGAGACTCAAAAACGGATTAGAAGAATTTTAACCTCCCCCCACGTATTTCAGTTTTTGATTGCCCTTCAATTAAGCGAGGTGAAAAAGTTCGCAACMAACAGGCGCCCTTGCATCCAGGATACAAAACTCAATGAAAAAAAGAATGCAGCGTTTCAATCTGAATCGGCAGAACTCGGCTGACTTCCTGAGAGCTGCAGCCTTGAGAAGATTCAGAAAGATTTTTCTGCTTTACAACCTTTAAAGGTGGATACAAGGTCCCTTGTGATTAAATTTTCACTTTGATTTATTAATTTAATCCATTTTCTATTCATTTAGTCAAACACTTGAAATTTATAACATTTCTGAAGGTTTTTGTTTCTAACTTGTCTTTGAGAGAAATTTTAACACAAAGAAGCTAAAAATTAGATGTAAAAACACAATTAATATCGTACCACTGCAGTATGACTGGCCTGTTTATTTAAAAAGTGAWGACAGACTTTGTCTTCAAAGCTTCACACCTGACTGGTTTTAGGCTCATTATACTGACTGCAGATTGTGATAACACCATTATGAAGAAAAAAACTGTATTTTTTGTGTCTGTAGACATGTTAGGAAATAACCCATGGATATTTTTTTATCATGTACAGCATGAGTTTTCAACATCTTTCAGTCTAGGACCCCCAAACTGGAGAACAGATGGAGCTAGTACCTATATGTAAATATATATATATAGTCTAATTAACCAAAAGTCTCACAATTCCCCTGCAGTACCATCAATGACCCACTAGGGGGTCACAACGCCATCATTGAAGATCTCTCTACAGCTAGTACCAAAAACCACAAAGTTGCTGTTCAGTAAAGTTGCTAATATTTGAGATTCTGTTTCTGTAGTATTTATACATATGTAAGAGGAATCAAGCCATGCAGATACTTTTTCTAAGTTTGAGGTTAATTTTATTGCAAAAGCAAGAGAAGTTTTACCTGAAACATAAGCCGTTGTATCATCAGCGTACATTTGAATTTCAATACAAGGAAAGACATTTGAATTGTTAAAATCAAGGTTAGAAAAAAAACAGGACTGAATATTCTTCCCTGTGGGACTCCTACTTCAAATCACTTTACATTGTCACAACATGTCAATAAGGCTAAACAAACCTATTTATTGCTTACCTGAGATGAATTGAAAATATCTTTAAAATCTCTGAAAACTCCTTTGATCTCAGGCTCTGTCAGTCGGACTTGTGAGTTGATTCCTCCAACAGAGATCCCCCCGTACCTGAAGTCACAAGAATAGGTAAATGAAGATAGGAGAATATAACTCAAGCGAACGACAAATACTATGATGCAGCACAAAAACTTTGTACCCRTTAAACTGCGTTATCAGTGGTCTTATCTTATATCTTGTAAGAAAGAAGGGAAGGAAATTAGCTTAAGGGGATCTTGAAATTCTTTTTTTATATATAAAACAGGTTATTTCCATRATGTGTAATTGTGGGTCTAGATGTTTAAGAAAAAGCAATAACAAGTTAGCACAATAGCAATAAATTTATTCACAAATCCTGGCTTTAGTTGCTTCATACATTGTTTCGCTCCTTTTACCTACACTGTTATTTTTTGTGTCACACACTAACCTATTTTTTTTCTTACCAAAGTAGCTGACAGAAATGAAAAATAACCATGCTAACACACAGTCAAAAAGCTCAATTTCAACATCAACATTTATCCCGTCTTACCTTTTTTTACCAAAATGTTCAAAAGTCTTRACCAAGAAGTCTGTCATGTTTCGTCCAGTCAGATTCAACAGAGTGTCTGTGGTGTTCTGAACCCTCTGGTAAGATAAAAACAAAAGAAAATACAGAAACATTTTCATTTTACTGGATAATTTGGTTTATATTTAATAGGTTGTATGAATATCACATCAAAAACACATCAAAGAGGAACTTCAGTTTAGTGACAACTTTGTGTTGCCTTCTCCATGCCATTGGGACAAATAACAACCAAATTGCCTGTAAACATAAATCTGTCAAAAATTGGTCTTCAAAATCATGGTTGATGGATATCTAAGTCCAGAATTTTTCCATGTGATGTCTTACATTTCAATCTTTGTTTGACATCTAATTTGCAGCAAGCCATCAAAGTGATTAGCACTGTTGCCTCGAGTCGCATCAAGAATATTCTAGGTTCAATCCTTGGTTTAGATCTGGGGTCTTTCTGTGTGGAGTTTGTATCTTCTCAGGTTTACATGGGTTTACTCCAGATACTCCAGTTTTCTCCCAGCATCCAAAAACATGCATGTTAGGCTGCCTTCAGGCCCAGGACTCCCTTGCAAGAGAGACCAGTGGTCTCAATGGGATTTGCCTGGTTAAATAAATAAAGATTACATCTATTACAAGTCTTAGCCTGGACTTTGATGTTTATTTATTTATTTAACCAGGCAAATCCCATTGAGACCACTGGTCTCTCTTGCAAGGGAGTTGCCTGGTTAAATAAATAAATATTACATCTATTACAAGTCTTAGCCTGGACTTTGATGTTTATTTGACATCTAAGTGTAGACTTCAGCGTTTAGACGCATGTTTGACATTTTTATCTAGATTTTGACGTCTATTATACACTAAAGTGCAAATCTTAATACATACTTCCTATACATAAAACAATCAATCAATCTAAGTCTTTACTTTGAGGTCTATTCGACATCTAAGTTTACACATTGCAGTAGATGTCTGTTAGACATCTCTTAGATAGCTAAGGCTAACTTCAGATGTCTTTTTGATGTCCGATTGACTTTTAATTCTAGATTCAGCATCTACTTAAATACCTAAGACAGTAGATGAAACTGTGTCCAGATACATGTTTCTGTCAGTACAATGTAAAAGTCTGTAAATATGTCTTTAGATTTACCACTTTTTTTTTTACTTCTACAACTCTCAGTTGTACAAATTTAACGTGTGGCAACAGATTAGTTAATGCATGGCCATAAGCTATTATCTCTTGGTCAAGCATTACATTTTTTATCCCATGTCACTGGATGTGCCCCATGCAACTGAACACAAAAGGTTTAAATATTTTTGTTTTTCTTTTTTTGACATATTGCTGTTTTAACTGATATACTGCCACTGAAAATGGGTAGAAAGTAGTTTTCTAGTACTTCAGACAACCTTTTCAAGCTGAGTTTTAGTTCATGCTTTTCTGTGTTTTATGTCAGTTTTGCTTATTTGCGTGAAATATGTAAAAACAAAGTTATAAGAGCTAAAGAAACTAAGGCTAAATGCAGTCTAAACTTAGATCAAAATATTCATGTCTAAACGAAGTCAGTGTCTTTGGTGAAACTGTATCTATTACTTAGTGGCTGAACAAGATAATTTGTGTTCAWGTCATTCAATCAAAAAATCTTTCTCTGTTTTCAGAAGTACAACTGAAGCCAGAATATCTTTAAAACCAAAGCGTCATACCAAACAGCTTCAGTTCCTTTTTATTTTACTCATGATACAAAATAAACCATGCTGGACCGTAGCTGTGTGCGTRAATGCTCATCAAAGACACACTTGAGCTAAAACAATTGCTCATCCATACGTGAAAYGTATCCAGCCGAATCAAAATCAACAATATTTAAGAGCAGGAGTGCCTTACTGGTGGCATCTGTTTACACCGCCGTGAAACATTCTCTCAATCGTTATCATAATAGTCAATTAAGCTTGACTATGGGAAGCCGGGTGGAAATCTAGACCCCCGCTAAAATTCAGTAAGCGGTGTCTAATGTCAAAGGACCCTAATTAGATGCCCCTCTGTGGATGAATGGGTACATTCAAACATCCAATTAAGAAAGGGTGCGACACACTGCTATGAATACTCTCCACCTCGTGTGGAGTGATGTTCAATGCACACCGACACACACTGCCGCCCTGATATGCATATACCCAGCTCATTTAGAGATGTAACACTAATTACAAAGCAGAGTTGTCCTTTRTAAAGTGGGATTCAGACCCCTGACTGTGATACAATTTACCAGCCTGCCCCCCCAAGATACAAAAGGTATGCATAGTATGTTTAATCTGTTACCATTACACCAATTAGCTTTGTATGTAAAGCAACTCTTCTTGATGAATATATTAAAACGTCATGCAAATATGTATAAAACATGTAATTTCTTGCAGAACAGTTTAGTTTAACTTTAAGTGGGTTAAAAGAAAAGGATAAAAAAATTAAATAAGAAACAGGAGGAGAATTTTCCTAGGAATCGAAACATAAGTTTAAATGAGGAGGAAAGCGCGAGGAGGACTGAAATCATCTGAAGGCAAAGACAAAACAGGAGGAGAAAACAGAGGAAGAAGAGGCCCCATCTGGCTTATGAATCAGAGATAAGGGAGGATGAAYGGCACAGCAACCTTGGCTTATCTCTGAACAAACATGCTTCCCTTTCTAGAAGCCACAGGAACTGAGACACAACCAAAACCAAAAAATAGAAGCCTTCACACTCCTCTGTGTGTATAATGAGTTTATACCCAGCCACGTCGTCAGTGTGGGTCTAATTATCTTGGCCTCAGTCCACACACCCTCCATCAAAAGGCCTGAAATGAGAACATTATGTGATGGTAATACCTGGGCTTGTTCATTACCTGCAAACAGCACCGGTGTGCTTGGCATTCTGCACTAGACATCAGCCTGATAACTGAGGAGGCAAGAGGAGGCGAGGCAAATGTAAACGAAGAAGTAATCAAATCTGCTGAATGAGCTGGCATGCTCGAGCTCTGCTGAGATAAGTGTTCGTATTAATCTTGGCACGGGTTATGTCATACTGTACCACTGTGCGAACGTCCAAGTTTAATCTTGGGTGTGAAAAGAAAAAAACCAAAACAAAACAAAAACAGAACCTATTTTTTGAATAAAAGCTTATATAATTTGTATGATCTGATGGACATATTTGCAATTAAATGAAAGATTGGGTTTTTTTAAGTGAAATTTTGTGAAAGGGGTAGAAAACATCCATCCATCCATCCATTATCTGCACCCACTTCTTCCTTTCAGGGTCACGGGGAAACAACATTGGTGCCCATATCCAGCAGTTAAGTTATGTCAGTTTCACATTACACGAAAATGCAACTGTAGCTCTGTGATGTCATCAAGAATTATCAATTCACCAATATGAGTGCTTACAGCTATTGGCTATTAGCACAGAGTTAGACCACATAGTTAGACTTGTAGGTATTATTCCCAGATCATTGCTCCAGACTACAGACTGAGTTCTGAGATTTGAGCCTGGACCATGAGCACCCTGCACCAAACCTCCAGTCACAGCTTACTGCCAAGGCTTGACCAGCCTGTAGAGTAAGTTTCCAGGACCTGAAACTTTAAGCCRGTAAAAATAAGACCAAGCTGACTAGATAGGGGGCGGGCCGAGCAAGGCCTTACAATGCAAAAACGCCTTGAATGACAAGAGAGGCTAAAGTCCTGAACAGTTCAGTCKAACCACACTGATGCTAAATAATTATTCACAAACTGAAGAGTGTAAATAATTATTCACAGACTAYAGAGTGGGTGATCAGGGTCTGGCAAATTGCCCCTTGGGGGTAATAAAGATTGTTGAATTTGAACTTGAACTGGTACAAATCTGTCTATCATCATTTCAAAAACYGAAAAGTATCATAAATTTATGTATGGCTGCCAAAGTGAGTTAGTTTTCCCACTCCTGTGGTCAGAGACCATATCTGACTCCACTTGTATCTAACAAAACCCAATGAGAAAGGGCCAAAAACAACGACTCCAGAAAATCAAAATCCAAAATTCCACATGTCCCCGTTTCATCTTGGTGAAAGATGTGTCTTCTTACAGTTCATTGGCTGGTGGGGATTTAAAAAGGCGCAATTCCCGCCTGCCTGAGAAGTGATAGGAACCAGAGGAGAGACAATGGCCATTGTTGTGTCTTCTGCTCTCCAGCCTCACTACCACTCCTGTCTTGTGTGGATGCAGTTTGTTGCACCTGTCTTATTGACAGTGCCTATTTTATAGGTTTTGGTTGTAGGGCTTAGACACTGGACCATAGGGTTAGGGAAGTGCCCTGAATCCAAGGGTCAACTGTTGGCTGGTCCGAGGACTCTCTCTCTCACTTTKTTTTTCTTTCTTGCTCTTTTTGGCTTTAAGTGTTTACAGAACAGCGTGAAAACATGCTGACTGAAACAAAGCAACATTTTATAAGTTTGGTTGCTGAATGCAAATGTCCTGGTCGTGGAACAGCGGACCAGCTCTTCACCCTCAGCAGGGTCCTGGAGGGTGTATGGGAGTTCGCCCAAACAGTCTACATGTGTTTTGTGGACTTGGAGAAGGCATTAGATCGTGTCCCTCGGGGACTCCTGTGAGGTGTACTCCGGGAGTATGGGGGTACCAGGCCCATTGATATGGGCTGTTAGGTCCCTGTATGACCRGTGCCAGAGCTTGTCCCACATTGCCGGTAGTAAGTCAGACTCATTTCCGGTGAGAGTTGGACTCCGCCAAGGTTGCCCTTTGTCAYTGATTCTGTTCATACCTTTTATGGACAGAATTTCTAGGCGCAGCCAAGGTGTTGAGGGGATCCTTTTTGGTGACCTTAGGATCACATCTCTGCTTTTTGCGGATGATGWGGTCCTATTGGCTTCATCAGATCGTGATCTCCAGCTCTCGCTGGAGCGGTTCGCAGCAGAGTGTGAAGTGGCCGGGATGAGGATCAGTGCCTCCAAATYCGAGACCATGGTCTTTTTTTTTCCTTTTTTTTCCGAGACCATGGTCTTGAGCCGGAAACAGGTAGTGTGCCGCCTCCGGGTCGGGGAGGAGGTCCTGCCCCAAGTGGAGGAGTTT